TTTTTTTTTGCAAAAAGACCACACAAGACCAATAAATCCTCTTTACAACACCAATATCTCCTCTGATCTGTGTTCTCCTGGAATACCAAAAAGTACATGTTTATAAATGTATAACAACACAGGATTGACTTTCATGCACAATATGAATTCTTGTACTGTCTAAGTAAGAGCTCCCCGTCATACACGATTTTCACTATGGCACAGAAGTCAACATCTGGCTGGAAAGAGTAAGGTGAGTGGACAACCCCACTTGGGTGAAATAGTTATGCAACTTACAGGAAGTAGCTCATTACATTTATTCTTCTCATTATTGTAGTCACCAACTCACCCCCAATTTGTGAGATGGTGTGCTGACCCATATTCCAGAACACACCAATTACCCCAAAAGAAATTAGGTGTGTAGAAAAGACGGTTACTTTGCATGGTCAAGTGGAAGCTGAAAACTACAGGTTTATTAAACAACATAATAATTTCATACAAAATAGAGAAAACGTCAGAGGGCATGGACCTGAGCGATAGCTAAAAGGTAGGGCAAGCATGACATGGACTGGGGATTGCAGAACGAGGCGAGAACTGATTTTTGGGTGGGAGTATAGGTAGGGTGGCAGATATGGGGGTGGATTAACTCACCTGAATGGAGCAATCGGGCTTGGAGGGTGGTCTTGCTATGGATGAGGCGATAGGGGTTTGAGACCTTTGTTGGAGTGTCAGTCAGAGCTTGTGCCCAGCACGGGTGAGGTTTCTTCCGCACTCGCACGCCCTCCCTGTATAGTTGTTTGAGTTTTGTGCTGTTTTTTATTTGTCATGCTTTGTTTAATTGGCTTTGTCCCTGTTAGTGTTTTGTCATTTATGGTTTTGTGTGGGTTCATTGATTTTGTTTTCTTTCTCCTGATTGCCATTTGATGACCTGTGGTGGTTGTTTGTCTGGTTTTTCCTGTTTTGGTCATGCAGGCCGGAAGGGTCGCTGGCGCTCTTTGCAGGGTGCGGTGCTGGAGTGACAAAGTTGGTGGATTAATATGGGTTGGGGCCCATCATTGGTATGGTATGTGTGTCCATTCCCAATTATAATGTCATGTTGGTAAGGTGGGATCATTGGCTGTATCTGGGACCTACACTAACTGTAAGTATTGTCCCGAGTATGTGTTAGTAGCGCCTGGGGGTCTTGTCATTGGGCAACAGATACATGCCGAGTTATTGATGTGTAAACAGTGCCTTCAAAAGACCTGGGACCCGGTTAGGGTTGGGATTATTACTGTCATGTTATTATTCTGATTGTACTGGAAGAAGTTGTTATGTTAAATAAATGGGCTGCTATGTGCTGTTTTAAAACACCAAAAGAAGAGTCGCGTGGTTATTTAGGTGTGGAGAGTTGAAGGGGGGTGTTTAGTTTTAATGGTTTAAGCGTGTAAGTACTTCAGCCTCGTTATTCTGCAAGTCCCCCACCAGGTCATGATCCGTCCGCATCCTCCACTCACACCCATTAAAAATGACAATGTAGTCTATCATAAAACTACCCCTCCTACACATTCCAGTGACGCTCACATTCAGTAACTGGGACAAATGGTACGCCGAGTGTCCCAGGTGCAAAGAATGCGCGTAATTGCGCTTCCCACCCGCACTGCTGTTAATGCAAGGCCTATTACTTTCCCTGTATCCATTTTCTGCCTTCATTTTTCTGCCGCTGCTTACCGATGGGCTGCTGTCCCTTCTACTACCCAGTCATTTGTCCTGGGCCCTGCTCACATCCTTCTGTCACATACACTGCAAGTGATCTATAGTTTGTAATCGACAACAATTTAGCTAATAGTATTCAATATCTAAATCCAAATTAAAACTTTGGATTGGAATACATATTATTTTGGTGATTTTGTATAATTATTGATTTTGTACTTTTGTAGTTCCTTATTAGGTAAATGTCCTTAATGCAAGCAATTACGATGAAAAACGTTATCATTTTCAGCTTTGACTTTGCTAAATATAGAGAACTGAAATAAATTGTTGCGCTGCGCTCACACACTGAAGACATTTATTCTACAGTAGATCTAATAGGGCAAAGACTTATTTTTTTTAATTTTAGGGATAGGAAACCCAAGGGTTCACACCTAAGGACGTTTTCTTGCAGCGGTTTGCAGAGACTCTGTACAGTCCATTTAAAAGCATGATTTCCTATGGAAACAGGTTCACATCAGCATGTTTTCACACGCCGATGCATTTTTTGGAAAGGGTCAGGGATTGTTTTTAACCTCAAAAAGTTAGCATTTTTTTGGTTCTATAGACACTTCAATGGAAATGCTGCAGAAAGAGCATGTGGGTGAGTTTTTTTTTATGTGTTCTGTAGTCGTTTTTTAATTAATGCCATTGTGAGTTTTAAAAAATCTGTCTAGAAACAAGAACAATATTTAAAAAAATGAAAGAAAAAAACAAGCGAAACCGCATCAAAAATGTGTCAAAAAATCAATCAAACTATGCAGGTGCAACACACACCAACCGCAATGCAGAAAAACAGCTCAAGACACAAACCTGCATAGGTGTGTAGTTAGGCTACTTTGGTGAATACTTAGGTAATAACTCCAGACACGAACTTGATGGAACAACAAAACTTTTTATTAATCAGAGCTGAGTTGACTCTGGCATAGGACTCATGTCCAGCAAGGTAAGTGCCGTTGAAAAAAGCCAACCTCACAGGGTATCAACATATCAGCAATTCACGTCACAACTGCATATATTCCCTCCTCTTTTACGTTCAGTTACATTCAAAAGACTTTCCTAAGCAGTTCAGAAAATGGCCTTACTAGATAAATTATCTTCAGGACTAAAAATAAAGGTACCAGTTACAGAACTGGAATACATTACTTCACAGGAAATAAGGGAAGGGAAGTGAACTGCTGATGACCTGGCAACACAGATACTGTTTAGAAATGTAAAAAGTTAAAAAGGGAACTCTGCAATATTGTGAGGGTGCTTCGATGCCACAGAGTGTGAACCTAGCCATAAGGGATGATTCTGACCCCTTTTCCAAATTTTTTTTCCACATCTTGTGCCCATTTTGTATAGAATATCACGTCCAATCCCGCCCATACAAAAATTTAAGGGAATAACCTTGGTAACCCCCCCCGAACACAAGAACTAGTGTCCCAATTGAAAGATTTCCCCTCTATTACTTTATCTGGGGACAACCCAAAATTTGGGGATAATCCTTTCACATTCAATGTTATGGGTAAATCAGGATAAACAGGGCGGGTGGAATCTTTCATTAAACGGGGGCAACAGACAGTAATGAAAAGTGACAGGTGTTTTAAAAATTATCCCTCTCCATACTAATCAAAACCTAAAAAAAAAAGAAATAAATAAATCATTTGCCTATTAGTTTATAATTTTAAGGCTTAGTTCAATCCAATGCATTTGTTTTGTGCTTTTTGCAAAACGCACTACAAGTCCCATTAAAAATGGTATTGTTTTCGCCATAGGGAATCGTTGCCGTTTCCATCTGCTGTGATTTTGGAAAGGGTCAGGAACTTTTTTTAAACCACTTGCCCTCCAGAGGATTTACACCCCCCTTCCTGACCAGGGCCCATTTATTTTGCGATACGGCACTGAAGTTACATTATCTGACAATATGGCGCGTCCATGCAACGCTGGCAACCCAAATTAAATGTAACGTCCTTTTTTTTTTTCTCAAAGAATAGAGCTTTCCATTCAGTGTAATTGATCGCCCATCCATGCGTTTTGAATTTATTTTGGGCTATAAACAAAAAGACCAACAATTTATGAAAATAAAATCCCCTATATTTTTTACTTTTTTGGCCAGTTATACAGGGTCCTGTAAAAAAAAAATTAAAAAAATTCTAATTTCTATCTACAATAAATTTAAGCCAAAATGTATTCGGCGAGATGTCTGCTGAAAAAAAAATCCCAATACGGTGTAAATAAATTGGTTTACCCTTGAAAGCTGTTTTTTTTTTATTTTCTAAATCAATGATGAACAACAAATTAGTGCATGTTTGATTATGTCCCATCATATCTTCTTTGACCTACCAATTATGTAGTGAAGTAACATTCATGCAGGAGCTACAATCTATCCTGACACGGCTTCCTAAGGATGCAAATTGGTGCATTGCTGGATTTGACCCGTAAAAAAACTGGTGAGATTCGCCCACTTTCTTTTCACCACGATGTCATTTACCATAAGGGAACCATAGACCGGCATAATCCTTCTATGCTCATATGCCCAATATACAGTATTTACTAGTATTATATACCATTTTAGTACCATTATATTACAGGCATACCTTGTTTAACGAATACCTTGGTTAATGTAATTTTCGATTTACGAATGAAAATCCATTGAAAATAATGCATCGGTTTACAAATTTTTTTCGTAATACACAGTATTTCCCCAGGATGCATAGCACCTGGGAGGTTTATAGCGCCCGGCCCCCGTGCCTTTAAAGTGCACTTTATAAAGAGTTTTGAAAAGATAAAACTTTTGTGTTTTACTTTTTTATAACCCTCCAGAGGCGGATTAATTAGTTTTTTTCAACGCATTTTACAATTTTTTTTTTTAATCATGTCCCAGTACAGTATTTATGGCCTTAAAGTGCACTTTATAAAGAGTTTTGAACAGAAGAAAAACTATTTTTTTTTTACTTTTTTCTGACCTGCCGGAATAGGAAAATTCGGTTTTCAATGCATTTATGAATTACTTTTGTAAATCACATTCCTTTACAGTATTTATGCCTTTAACCACTTGCCTACAAGGCACGTATACCCCCTTCCTGCCAAGGCCAATTTCCAGCTTTCAGCGCTGTTGCACTTTGAATGACAATTGCGCGGCATCATACAACACTGTACCCCATAAGAAATTTTTATCATTTTTTTTTTTTTGTGACAGAGCTTTATTTTGTGTGGTATTTAATCACCTCTCTGGGGTTTTTATTTTTTCTTAAACAAACCAAAAACCAATGAAAGTTTTGAAAAAAAAGTTTTTTTTCTAGTTTTTGTTATAAAGTTTTGTAAATAGGTGATTTTTATCCTTCACTGATGTGCGCTAATGAGGCTGCAGTGATGGCACTGATAGGCTGCACTGATGGGCCACTGATAGGTGGGCACTGATGAGGAGGCACTAGTAGGTGGCATTGATGGGCATTGACAGGCATTACTGAAGGGCACTGAAAGGCAGCACTCATATATGGCACTATTAGGCGGCACTGATAGATGGCACTGATAGGCAGCACTGACAGGGCACTGATAGGCGGCACTGATGCACACTGATAGGTGGCACTAACTGGCACTGATAGGTGGCACTGACTGGCACGGTTGATAGGTGGCACTGACTGGCACTGATAGGTGGCACTCTGACTGGCACTGATGCGTGGCACTGACTGGCACTGATGCGTGACACTAAAAGGCAGCTCAGATGGGCACTGGATAATGCACTGGCATGTGGATGTGGCACTGATGGACACTGACAGGTGGGTACTGATGAGCACTGACAGCTGGGATGGATACACAGGTGGATCATCAGGGCACACTGATCATCAGTGCCCTGATGATCAGTGTACATGTCCCCTCTGAGGGAATGCCAATTACCGGCTCTCCTCTCCTCACGAGCTGTCAGCGTGACAGCTCGTGGGGAGAGAAATGCCGATAACCGGCATTTCCCTGTTTACATGTGATTAGCTGTGATTAGACACAGCTGATCACATGACCGAGCCAACATCTTCGGCTCTTTCCGTGGATCGGTTTTTCCGCAGTGTCTGAGGGACACAGCGCACTGCGGATCGCCGCGCTGCGCACTCCGGGAGCCGTGCACATGCGCGGTTAGAATGGGAGGACGTCCATATGACGTCCTCCCAGAACGAGAAAACCACCTTGCGTCCGTCATTTTACTATATGGCGGGTGGGAGGCGGCTAAAGTGCACTTTATAAAGAGTTTTTGAACAGATAAAAGACTTTTTCCCAGAAAAATTTTTCTGACCTCCAAATGGATTAATTTTTTTCAATGCATTCCTATGGGAAACTGCATTTCAGTTTATGAATTGTTTGCAATACAAAACGTCCTGGAGAATGCATGAAATTCGTAAACCAAGGTACGCCTGTAATTTGTTTTTACTTGGATATTCTTTTAGGCAAGGTTGTGTAAATAAAACCCACTAAAAACCCTCTAAAAATGGCATCCCAATAACTCTGCAAAAACATCTGTAAATATTTTTGCAGCCAAATTAGGGTTACACCACTAAAACATTTGTTATATGTTTTCATTACCATAGTAAAGCTTTTTGCTGATGATCATTTTTAAGTGATTGTATTTTAAAGCAGAGTTCCACCCAAAAGGGGAAGTTTGGCTTGAACCTCTTACTGGTCCCCCCCCCACTCCCCATGCGGAATTGGCACCTTTGGGTAGTGGGTACCTGATTTAGTGAGGACAGGTATCTGCTGCCATTTACTGTGACATGCCAGGCCAGGGGTGTCAAACTGGCGGCCCTCCAGATGCCTTTAGGAAAGCCATGCTTGTAACTGTCAATCATATGCAATGCGTCAAATTTCAAGTTTGCATTACAGTTGGAGGGCCGCCAGTTTGACTACCCGTGGCCTAGGCGATCGGAAGCAGAAGTTGTCCCTCCCCCCTCCCCTCCCCCAGTTTTCTTCTGGGACACATAACACAAAGTGGGACCATTCACAAAGTGCAGTGCTACTTGCGCATGTACAGTGGGCACCCTGCTGTGAAGCCACAAATTGTCACAGCCGGTGCCCACACTTAAAGTGCTACTAAACCCATGACCCTGCATTCACTATATCTGGTCTCCCACAGTACACAGAACATGGAAGTGCAATTATTTTAGTAAACATAAACTTCTAAATACCTTTTCTCATCAGCAGTTAATGCAGTATTGTGGCTTCTATCATGTCCAGCAGAGCACTGGTTAAAGCATGTAGGAGGAGTGTTCATTTTGCTCTAAGAGGATGCAGAACCTCTAACCTCTGTCTGGACAGTGCTGTTTGGTCCTGTGCTGATCACATGCACTCTCCCAAGAAAAAAAAAAACTTCTCTAGCAATACACATCAAACTGAGCATGTGCAGAGTGACTCCACACGATATGTCTTACCAGGAGATAAAAGGGGGGCACTGGAATGGGGGAGGATCAGAGAAGTCAGGATCAAACAGCATTTTTACACAATGCGGAGGGATTAGCCATTTTGTTTTTGAATACAGAACCCTTAGATTCCACAGTGAGTATAACAAGCATTCTTTACTGCATATACAGACTGATCTTACTGTTTAGTAACACAAAGATGTCAACGCTGGGGAGAGAGGACGGCCGGTGAAACCGGCTGCAGTGAGGACAGACACCGTTGGATCCCAGGCCAGGAAAGTGGCTGTTTTTTAAAAAAATCAGCAGCTACAAAAACTTTTATTTTTGTTAACTTTGACTGAAGCTCCTCTTTAGAATTCTCCCTGCTATGTAAAGTTTAGAAGGGCGCTTTGGCATAATGCTTTAATTAACCCTTACTGTACTGGCAACTCTTCATTATCAGTTGTAAACTAGATTTATACACTGTATGCCTGGTATGGCCTCCGACATTGCATGTTAATGAGGGATAGCTCAACGGTTCCCAGCCTGTCCAAAAATGCTTGCAATGTGCTATGAGGCCTTTTTCTCAGAAACATCTAAAAGGTAAGAAATATATATATTTTTTTTAACGTATGCTTTGTGAGTAAAACACATAACACATATATTGAGGAGATTTCTCAAATTTCATTGCAAAAGTAAACATACAACTTAAAGCACAACTTCACTATTTTTAATCTTTATGCTGTTAGCATTAGTAAATAAGCATTAGTAAACTTTAAAAACATTTATTCAGTTACTTCCTGGTATCCATGCCTAGACAAATGTCGTACATCCCAGGAGTCCTCAGGAGGGTAGGAGAGGTTTTCTCAGCTAAGCACAGCCTCCAGCCTGCATGTCTGAGCTAAGGGGGATGGGTTTCAAGAAGTAAATGCTACATATATCATCTGCCCTTACTTAAGATGGCCATGGCCAAAATGCTAGTGGGGAGGTTTTCAAAATGATTTCTCATGGATGGATGGATGGATGTGTGAATTTGCTTTAACCACTTGCCCTCCAGAGAATTTACCCCCCTTCCTGACCAGGCCATTTTTTTTACGATATGGCACTGCGTTAATTTAACTGACAATTGCGCCACCCAAATTTGTGTCCTTTTTTCCCCACAAATAAGGCTTTCGGTGGTATTTGATCACCTCTGCATTTTTTATTTTTTTGTGCTATAAACAAAAAATGACCGACAATTTTGAGAAAAAAACAATATTTTTGAGTTTTTGCTATTAAACATGTCCAGTAAAAAAAAAATTTTGAATGAAATTTCTTCATAAATTTAGGCCAAAATCTATTCTATTACATATCTTTGCTAAAAAGAATCCCAATACGTGTAAATTAATTGGCATACGTGAACGTTATAGTGTTTACAAATGGCAGTATATATATATACTGGAATTTCTTTTTTTATTAGTAATGGCTGCGATCAGCAACTTATAGCGGGACTGCGGCGGGCATTCTTGCAATGGGGGGGGGGGAACTGACTTGGTGTCACTGACATCCCCAATGACACCAATACAGTGATCAGTGCTCATAAAAAGCACTGACACAGTACTAATGGCACTGGGCAGGAAGGGGTTACATCTGGGGCGATCAAAGGGTTAACTGTGTGCTGTTTCACTATGGAGGTTGTATGTGTGCTTCACTGTAAGCACACTGCTTTGTATGGCTCTGCTATGCAGAAATGATTGCCTAGATTTTGTCTCTGATCCATGCTCTGAGGATTCATGTTGTAGGGAACCTGGGCAATCTTCTCTCTATTTCTGTTATTTGGTATCAATATAACAGTCAACACAGACTCTTCAACTCTTCAGTTAGGTCCTCAATCTGATTAAGTCATCGCTGGACCTATCTTACAAATTGGAGTACCTAGGCTTGATGCTACACAAGGCCCTAGCCAGGATCTTCCTGCCTCAGGAAAAAATAATTGTCCCTTTGTTGTCATGTCCAGGCCCTTCAGGCCCAGAGGAATCCCTTAATTTGTGTGAATGCATGAGGGTCTCATGGCTGCCTCCTTCAAGACTGCAAGATAAGCCCTGTTCACCTCAGACATTTGCAACTTCCCTCTGGCAGTGTGCAACAAACAGCTCAGTCCTTGTAGTGGCTCATGAGTCAGGCCTCCAAGGCCAGACTCTCCCTAGCATGGTGAATTTACAGCCCAGCACTGGATTTAGGGAAACCCTTTCCTCCACAGTTAGTTTGGTAAGGTTCTCATAATGGATGCCGTGAAGGGGCTCTGCATCTTAAGCATGTATTTGAAAATGTTACTGTTAGAGAGGACAATTTGCTTTGTTTGCAAGCTGGTTGGTAAGTTGAGCTAAGAATTTTTCTTTTATATTGTTTGACATGCGTCACCCTTCCATGTGCTCCTTGCTGTGAAGGCCAGTTATAGACTGGGGCAGTGGCCATTTTTTGCACTGTTGATTTGCTGGTGAGGGGGCGCACTGGACACCCTGGCTACCATTGTGCTATATGCTGGGTGTCCAGAGCTCCTCTATACTCCCTCAGGACTCCCTCAGGCTCACCTGCCCTCAGTCTATCCATTTATACATGTGCTTCTACTATGGAGGCTCTCAAAATTTATAGGGTTAGGAACTGCAGAATATTGGGGTGCTATGAAGGGGCTCTAAAGCTTACGCATGTATTTGCAAATGTGTGATAACTAAACCCCTGTTTTTAACGCAAACTGTTAGACAGGACAAGTTGGTTTGTTTGCAAGCTGGTTGGTAAGTTGAGCTGGGAATTTTCTTTTTCATTGTTTGAAATGCGTTATCCTTCTATGTGCTCCTTGCTGTGAAGGCAATTTATAGATTGGGGCAGTGGCCATTTTTTGTACTCTCATAATTGATGCCAGTGGTGATCAAACACCACTAAAAGAAAGCTATTTGTATGAAAAAATGATAACATTTTAATTTGCGTACCGTGTTACATGACTGCACAATTGCCAGCTAAAGTAGCGCAGTGCTGAATAGCAGAAAAAGACTCTGGTCATGAACAGGGTTAAACAATACCTGTCTGAACAGATGACACCACATGGTTTGCAGATAAAAAAATACCTACCACAGTCTCACACTGGATGCGATTTAAAATTGCACGTTTTGTTTGCGACTTCACCGCATTTTCTGAAGATTTGTTTGCAACTTTTTAAGATTTCCCAATGATTACTTGCGTTTTCCATTGCATTTTCTAGCGATTTCTTGCAATTTCCATGTTCTGCTACTTGTCAGAGGGGACATCAGAGGGGATGTGGGGTGGGGCTGTACTAGTCACAGGGAGGAACAATGTGAGGATCAGGCTTGAACAGGCAGAGACCGCAGGAAAAAACTAGGAAAGGGTTAATACAAATTATCACAAATTGCACATATTTAGACACACTTGCGTTTTGCAGTGCGATTTCTATTGCAGTCTATGTATGTGAAATCACAACAAACTGCAAAAAAAGTAA